CTCCTCACTATACCTGATTAAAGAAAAGCATATCATCACGACTCCCTCTCGGTCTGCTGTCCACAGGAATCCCATCAACTTACCAGCGCCTTGTGGCTTCTTGACAACCATATGGATTGGACCCCCAGCCGCTTGTGTACCCGACATTCTCCCCGATTTTTCCAAAAATTCGTTTGTCATGAAATATTCGTTTCTGTTTTGCTAAGTTTAAAGCCCATTTTTCTGCTTCACGAGCCAAAGTCGAATCCCATTGCASWGGAGGTGAACCATGGCGGGCGCGATAGGCATTGTGGGCTTGTAGACATTCCTTGACCTTAACAGATACTAAGATAAGAAATTAAATGATTCATGAGTAAATACAAGTACTGAATACCAGGGGATATTAATAAATAGTGGGAATATAAAATAGGGATCCCTGTGGAATCCCTGCGCGCAATGCCTTGYTGGGTAATGATTACAACAAGTGACGGGCTTCCTCGACCAATAATCACAGCACAARGTTATTTTGTACTTAAACTGATGGGAAGTYGATCTAAGTAAAGATGACTGACCCGAAGAGACGCCTTTCGGGAGCGGTGTTGGTTTAGGATTTGGCTTGCTGGGTTTTCYTCCACATCCRGAGCAGGTCTGATGGCAGTCTTCCTTGACCCAATCTAGTTTATGACACCAACTACGCAAATCTTCACAATTAGTGTACTTGTCATGACCTTGGTAAACAAGTAAGAACGGATTAGAAATTATATTTAACTCATTTYTGTATCATGAACATTTCTCGAATTAATTTGTCACGAGTTGAAATATCTCTCGAGTTCAAATTATATTACTTAATACTGTATTTCAACATATTTGACATAATATTTTGACAGATAGATTAAGTATCTTATTTCCACGATTAATGAGCCAAGTCAGTTTTATTTAAATTTTCAAAGTTAAGTATAAAGAAATGTCAATACACAAACATAGGAACGAGGCTTACAGGCCTTAAATCCAAGATGGCGACGAATTTCGAAGCTGACTAAATAGAATTATGTTAAAATATACGTTTGTTATTGTGCACGTCTGAATCATCTCAGTGTAGATGTTTAAACCCTCTGAGTAGTACATTTAATACTCACAATATCGTCGCTTGTCAAGGGCTGGCTTGTCATCCGGGACATCGTTGCTGTCAATRGCTGACGTCACTACAGCAAGAAATACTACCAACATGACGAGTAAACCTTTATACATCTTGGTCAGATCTGACTGCTTGAAAAGAGGATTAAATTAAGTGTGTAATCCGGTTTGAAAGGTATATTATAAGGTCGATGAATTTCTTTCTACCAATCATCATTGTCATTTTGCGATTTGAAGGAAAAAACTTATTCAAACTCTGTACTCAAGATCTGTGCTCAACAGCTAATAGGACAAATTTTACCTGTTTGTAGTCGTCTGTCGATGCACCTAACAGCTTTTWATCGTGGTGAGAGATGGTTATCCTTATATATGCCTWATTGCGAATAGCCGCAGCCAAAAATACTGAGAAATCATCATTAACAACTAGTATGTCAACTAATCTTTCAAACTCTTTAATATATAAAAACTGTACAGCACACATTGTGTTAATAGAAACATGAATACTAAAGAGAAAAAGGCTTGAGTACTAAGATACCACCTATATGTGCATATTTACACCTTATGTTGAACTCAATCAAACTTGTGAACAAAAACAATGAYTAGAAGGGTAACCTTGTGGTGTTCTTTTCTCGTCTTAATTATTTCTTTTCATATTTATSTGAAGATATTAACCTTACCTGTCATGAAACATAAAAGACATACAATTTATGTCGCGATAAGTAAGACGTTATCAGAACTTGTGGACGGAACGTATCAGCGCAAGCTTCCTACGTTCAGTGAACAACCGATGACGTCGCGCCATCAGCTGTCAATCAATCAGGTTATTTGTTCGCAAATCACCAAACATTTCAGCAACTTTCTAGCTTTTTGATCCCCAAAATGCACATATATATATAGCAAAACTCGGGGGAAGTGATGTTCAAGGRTTTTCATTATGCTTTCAGAGGTGATTTTGTAAGCATGACTCTAGAAGCTAAGATGAATTTAAAAACGATGTAAAAGCATGTTTTCCGACAACCCACGAGTCAGCAACTCACGACATATCTTTTGTTTTCTGTTTTATCATTATTCTACAGATGATTTTATTATTTGTGAATACAAAACTATATGGAAAATATTTCCCTAGTTGACAAYTTGTCATCAACAAGGACGTCGTACATCTATTGTTCGTAACAGACGCTATACGCCYATGGCTTTCACACTCGTTTTTATAATGATGGTGGTAAAKTGCCACAAAAAGTAMGAGCAACATACAATTTTATTTGGACTTTTGGGTCAACTTTTAAGGGTATCAGCGTAATTCAAATGACTTTCTTTTTGATAAAATTTCYTTTTTGCTGACACAACTCTTTGAGGATTATCCAGAGAATATATAAATACACATTGGTTACTCAATTAATCTTTATTCATGTCCTAACTGATAAAAATGCAAAGTAATGTAAAGATTTTTTATCAGTAACGTCTTCTTCCAACGTTTTCACGAAAATATCTTCGGCCTTGA